AGATGGTGGTGGAGGTGGTGGTGGTGGTAGTGGTGGTGGTGGAGATGGTGGTGATGGTGGTGGTAGTGGTGGAGATGGTGGTGGAGGTGGTGGTGGTGGTAGTGGTGGTGATGGAGATGGTGGTGATGGTGGAGATGGTTGGGGGATAATGTTGGTTTAAGAGGAAAGGTTGGTGATGGTGCTGTTGATCAAGAGTGAGAGGAAAACAGACCATAGGAAAGCAGAAACTTCAGTTTCTCCTTTAATGATTTCCAAAGCATTTATGTGTAAATATAAGGAATCCAACTTAATAGCACTAGCATTATAGACTTTAGAACTGGAAGAAATTGCAGAGATATTATGTCTAATGTGTTTAAGCAATTTTTCTGTTACTATGTATACCGAGTCCCAGTTTTTCTTAGTAAAAATGCAGAGCCTTCCTGTGCCTTGGGCAATTAGGATGGAGCCTGGGTGAAGTCTAGTGTGGAGCTGTAACAGCATGCCCAAGGGACGCCCAGCCTCGGTTGGTTCCCTCATCTGACCTCATCACACATGAAGAACCAGATTTCCTTCCTTTTTTCCTCCCTCCCTCCCTCCCTCCCTCCTTCCCTCCCTCCCTCCCTCCCTCCCTGTTTTGCTTCTCCTTTCCTTTATTTTTATTTATTTATTTTTTAATTGACAAACTGCTGAATCTACCTGCTATCTGCCAGGCTGGGCACGCTGGTGATTCAAATGTGAATAAGATTCTATTCCTGTCCTCAGGAGGCTGGCAGGTGAGTAGGTGTGAACAACTGTCAACAGAGGGTCAGGTACCAGGAGGATCTAGATACGGGCTGCAGCTACCCCCAAGGCTGGGTCTTCTCCTTGTCTGGTCAGCCTCCCTATCCCCCCGGGGGAGTCCGTGCAGGGGGATTGGAAGACCTCCCCGTGGCCGCTTCCTCTTCCTTTTTTGCAGTCCAGGCTCCTGTCAAGCACTCTCCTCAGACCCCCGGGAACTTGGCTCCAGCCGCCCTGCCCCTCCATGGCTCCCTGCAGCCCCTGCCCCACTCGGCTCTCCCGGCCGCCCTCCTGTCAGGAGGCTGCCAGGATGCCCTGCTGTGGGGCCACTGGGGAGTATGTGCTAAGCCTTAGCTAAGCCCCCGGCCCTGCATACACGGGCCAGTGGGCCCCCCTCTTTGCTTTTCACTCGCCACGCTGGCCTTTGCTAGCTGCTCCTGCCCGGGGCCAGTCAGCTTCGCTCCTTCGCTTGGCGCCTACGTATGCAAATTAACTGCCATCTTTGTTGGCAGTTAATTTGCATATTGCCCTGGTTAACCAATGAGAAGCGTAGCGGAGGTACAGTTAATTACCCCTTTTCTCTTTTATTAGATAGGATGAGATGCTGTAGGAACTTAATTCTTTTTTTTTTTTTTAATATATTTTATTGATTTTTTACAGAGAGGAAGGGAGAGAGATAGAGAGTTAGAAACATCGAGGAGAGAGAAACATCGATCAGCTGCCTCCTGCACACCTCCTACTGGGGATGTGTCCGCAACCCAGGTACATGCCCTTGACCGGAATCGAACCTGGGACCTTTCAGTCCGCAAGCTGACGCTCTATCCAGTGAGCCAAACCGGTTCCGGCAGGAACTTAATTCTTATGTCAAGTAGCCATTGATAAAATTGGTTGTTATATGTCAGTTTGCTTAAAGTTGCAGGACCTATCAATGACATTAAGTGAGGACTTGCTGTATTTTAAAATTACTACACCCTAAAAGAAAGGGGTGGCCTGGATATAGTCCAGGCTAATGAAATACAGAGAAGACCTGTATGGGACTTCCAGATCTTCCTTGAAGGGTGGGCACACGTGCTTGTTTGCCCTCCCACCTTCCTCTCTGTGACTAGCTGTGAACGGGACTGTTATTGCTGCAGTGGCGGTCCAGGGGCAATGGAGAGGCAGGAGGATGGAACAGCAGTAAAGACTGGAACAGAAACAAAAGGAGCTTGGATATTGCTGATCCTGTGGAGACTACAATAGCCTGGACTTTCTATTTCTAGACTCAAGGATGGAAAAAATGAATCATTACCTGTTTTAAACCAGTGTATTTTGGGGGGGGGGTATGGGGTGGAGCGGGATGTGTCTCTGTTATAGCAGAATTGCTAATTGATGCAACTTACATATGCCAGGTGCTGCTCTAGGTACTGGAGAAAAACATTGGAATGAGAAAGGGTTCCTGTTCTCAAGTTCAACAGGGAGAAGTGCCGGGTAGCATGGGACAGAAAAGGGACAGTTCCTCATGCAAACAAACACGCAACACTCGAACAAGGTTACAGAAGAAACTCACCAAGGGGAATGGAGCCCATGGAGCCATGGTTTGGCCTATTATGGTTACTGCTTTATCTCTTGTACTTAGAACAGAACCAAGGGTATTCAAATAATAACATATTCAATGAATGAAATAGAGATAGAGCATGCTTTCACATGAAAAGAAACTTTCTATAGAGAGAGGATGGTGATGGACTTCTTGGATTTCTAGGTGGGTTGAAAGACAAAACAATGAGGCAGGGCACTTGGGAACCGGGCACACAGGGACCCAGGAGGTAGAGGCAGGGTGGGCAGCACATCCTGTGCAGTCATCTTTGTAATCACTTTCAAAGCACACAGGCCTTATTGTGGCACTGATGACTGAAGGCTCTGAGTGCTCAATTTGGCTGGAAAACACCTCTCCCCAAAGACAGAGCAGCAATTACAGAAGGCAGGGGAGAACATAAACCCATTTAATTAATGAGGTCATTTGTTTTGTTGAGACTCTCACCAAGGCCTTTGAGAAGGGCCTTGCAGAGGATGATACCCCCAAAGGAGGGACGTTTCTGTGTCGCCCATAGAGGCCCCATCAAGCTCTGCAATGCTGATTGCTGGTTTTAATTGACACTCACTTGTCCCTTCACACTAATTTCTATGTAGGCCTGTTTGGCTCCAGCCGTCCTCTCTGTTGAGGTCCTCTCTGTTGAGGTTCTCGAATGGATTGCACAATTTCAGCCAGTGTTTGTGACATCCTAGCCCCCTGTCCTAAGAATAGTGATGAGATAAAATAGCTGAGAGTAATTGGCCTGAGGCCGGCAGCTAGTGAGGGACACCTCTGGGATGTGAATATGGCTATCAGGGGCCCAAGTGTCTGCTGTACTAATGTGTCCCCACTTACCCCAACTCACCAAAATCACTGAAAGACAAAGACTGCAGTTGGAATTGTCACGAAAGTACCAGTACTGCTAAAGGCCCAGGGCCAGGAGAGTTACCCCTGTGGTTGTCTTTTGTAACAAGTGCCCTGTGAGTTTTCAATAGAAAGTCAGCTAAGATAGAAAAGGAGGGATTTTAAAGTAGTTCAGGACATTCAGAAGCACATGGCCGCCTTCTCTTCCTTCCAAAGCAAGCCTTTTGTTCAACCAATCGACAGTGTTCAGTGAAGCCTAGCACTGTACTAAGGACACTGTACTAAGCATAAATACACAAGTGTAAGACACAGTCCCAGCCAATTTAAACATAGAATCTAAACATTTCTCAGGAATTACTCCATGGTTAAACAAGCAAAACTGGACTTAGTTAACAAGATTGCAATGAACAGTCTTTAAAGCCAACATTTTAAAGAAAAATATTACACCTACACTTGTTGTGGTATGCAAGTTCTCCCAAGTAATATCAACTTCATTGTTATCAATAAACAAGGTTTACTTTTCTTAAAATTCACCCCTGTAATTTCAATAGATTTTTTTTTTTAAAGGAACTTTAAAAGGTAAAGTAGTGAAAACGTGTAAAAATTTGGCCAACAGATGTCTGAGCAAAAGAGCTCGAGACTACTGAGAGAACCTAGCCCATCTCCAGGCCATTTTCATTAACATTTTGACAACATAAAGCATGTTTCCATATAAGACATTACCACCATCCCGAAGAGGGAGTCAGTACCATGGACAGCGGTGTAGGCTAGCCATTACCAGGAGGGCGAAATTTTGCACTAACTTAGAGGCAATAGATAACCAGGGGTTGGGGGAATTTTGTCCCCCAAATTAACCTCTTGATTCTCTCACAAACTCTCATAACTCACAGGTGTTAGCCCAAACCGGAAGTCGGATTGAGATACTGTACATGGTGATGATTTATTCCCAGGAATGAGCAAACCTCCTGCTTTGAGAGCATAGAGCATTCAGCACAGAGCAGAGAAGCGAGAGCAGCAGCCTCAGGAGCCTGAAACCTGAGAGGGTGATGCCAGGACACAAACATGACTGTCACCTTGCTTTCTTTTCCAGACCCTTCACTCGACTGTGGCCCCAGCAAAGAGCTTTAGCCTCATGCTGGGTTACTACCCAAAATGGTCTCCATTTTGGCCAAAAAAAAAAAAAAAAAAGGCAAATCAAGGAAGGGACTAGCACAAGGGGAAGACTGGATAATTCTCTAGTGTTCATGTAGTCTGGATACTCTAGTGAAAAGGACCACTGACTCCTTGAAATAAAGTATGTTACACCAGGAAGTCTGGGGTAGGCTGCAGCTGAAGGGAAAAGTTCCAATCTGAACTTCAAACTTGTGGTAAGCAAGCACCTTTTGCTCGAAAGCACTAAATAGTGAGCATCTAGCTCTGGCAGAGATGGGAAAGAATGCCAGTTCCTTCCTGTTCGTAGACTCTAAAGTCTAACAGGGTCCTGGGTATGCAGAGACGCCAGGCCCAGGGCTTCACAGCTGGACTTGGTCCTCCTGCCAGCAACCCTTCTCCTTTCCACCATGAAGGTCACTCTGGCTCCTGTGCACCCGACAGCCCTCAGGATTCCTCCCTCCAGCAACTGTAGAGATGATCATCAAGGCTATTGAAATAGGAGGTAGTGTACAAAACGTAACGCTGGTTTTTCTTAAAATGCAACACTGGTTTTCTTATAGCAGATACAAGGCACAGTGTGAGAAAGCCGCCCCACGCCCAGGCACACATCCACACTTGCTCCTTGCACACACACAAGCAGCTGGTTTTGCCACGATGCACAGGAATGAATTGCTTCCAGTCATTTCTGGTTCTTAAGCTGGTTGGAGAGCCAGTCCAGGCCTTCGTAAAGCCCGTCTCCACTGGTAGCGCTGGTAGCCTGAATGTGCCAGTTTCTCTGGCAGATGGACTGTAAGCCAAGCTTGTCTGTTATTTCTGCTGTGCTCATAGCATTGGGAACATCCTTGAAAGAGAATATTCAAAAGTCAGTTTATAATGTTGCATTCATATAATGAAACACCATGCTCTTAAATATATATATATCCTTCTCTTCTCCCCAAACCTGCCCCAACCCACAGACTTATCTCAGCTGATGGAAACTCTAGCCTTCCAGCTGCTCAGGCCCAAAACTTTAAAATCATCCTTAATTTTTTTTCTCTCTCTCACTCCCACAACTCCACAGTAGGAAATCCTACAGACTCTACCATCTAAATATATTCAGCATCTGACCATTTCTCACCTCACCTTCACAGCTACACCCTAACCCCACCACCATCATTTCTCACTTGGATTACTTACATAACCTCCTTATTGGTCTCCTCGCTTCTGCTCTGGCTCCCCTCAAGTCTATTCTTGACAGTCAATTAGAATCAGATCAAGTCATTCTTCTATCAAAATCCTGCAACAGCTCACTCTCTCTGGGGGTCAGAGTCCTTCTTTTTTTTTTAAATTAAATCTTTATTGTTCAGATTATTACATTGGTTCCTCTTTTTTTCCCACCATAACTCCCCTCCACCCAGTTCCCACCCCACCCTCCGCCCTCACTCCCCACCCAAGGTCCTCATCCATAGGTGCATGATTATTGTCCAATCTCTTCCCGCACCCCCCACACCCCTTTCCCCCCCAAGAATAGTCAGTCCATTCCCTTTCTATGCCCCTGATTCTATTATAATCACCAGTTCATACTGTTCATCAGATTATTTATTCACTTGATTTTTAGATTCACTTGTTGATAGATGTGTATTTGTTGTTCATAATTTGTATCTTTACCTTTTTCTTCTTCCTCCTCTTCTTAAAGGATACCTTTCAGCATTTCATATAATACTGGTTTGGTGGTGCTGAACTCCTTTAGCTTTTTCTTATCTGTGAAGCTCTTTATCTGACCTTCACTTCTGAATGATAGCTTTGCTGGATAAAGTAGTCTTGGTTGTAGGTTCTTGGTATTCATCACTTTGAATATTTCTTGCCACTCCTTTCTGGCCTGCAAAGTTTCCGTTGAGAAATCAGCTGACAGTCATATGGGTACTCCCTTGTAGGTAACTGACTGTCTTTCTCTTGCTGTTTTTAAGATTCCCTCTTTGTCTTTTGCTTTTGGCATTTTAATTATGATGTGTCTTGGTGTGGTCCTCTTTGGATTCCTTTTGTTTGGGGTTCTCTGCGCTTCCTGGACTTGTAAGTCTATTTCTTTCACCAGGTAGGGGAAGTTTTCTGTCATTATTTCTTCAAATAGGTTTTCAATATCTTGCTCTCTCTCATCTTCTGGCACCCCTATAATTTGGATGTTGGTACGCTTGAAGTTGTCCCAGAGGCTTCTTAAACTCTCTTCGTATTTTTGGATTCTTTTTCCATTTTGCTTTTCCTGTTGGGTGTTCTTTGCTTCTTTGTATTTCAAATCTTTGACTTGATTCTTGCGATCCTCTGGTCTGCTGTTGGGAGTCTGTATAATATTCTTTATTTCAGTCAGTGTATGCTTAATTTCTAGTTGGTTCTTTATCACAACATCGAGAGTCTCACTAGATTTCTTGAAGATCTCACTACATTTATCGGCGGTCTCACCAGTCTTTTCGAGGGCCTTACTAAATTTATCGGCGGCTTCTACACAGTTCTTTAAAGATCTTAAAAGTGTGGTTTTGAACTCTATATCCAGCAGTTTGCTCTCCTCCATTTCTGTCATTTGCATCCTGTTTCTTTGTCTCGGCATTTTTTATGCTTCGCTGTGTCGATAGAGTGCTTTCTGTGCTAAGTGTCCCAATTACCTGAGGTAGACACTCTTGGTGCACCCCCTTGTGGGCTTTGTGCACAGTCTTGTTGTAATTAAGCCTTGATTGTTGTAGTGAGGAATTGACCTCCAGGCCAATTGGTTGTGAGAATCAGCTGTGTCTGCAGTGGAAGAACTTCTGTGCTGGAGACACCCCTCTGGGGCAAGACTTCCTTCAGTGGGGCTTTGGCGCTCACTGAGTCTGCCCCCTGAGTGTGTCTTTTATGGTTCCAGGGAGCTGCAAACTGGATGGTCCCATTCTGACCTCAGGGCTTCCTGGCTCCTGGATCTCTAGGGAGGTGCTAATCTAGCCTTTGCCTGCGGCTATTCAGCTAAAGCCTCCATGCAGGGTTTGGGTGGGGCAGGTCCCACAGGATCAACAGGGCAGGGCTAGCAGTTATGGGTGCTCTCAGTCTTGCCCTCAGAGGCTCTGCTTCTCAGTGTCCTGGTAAGGTAATCACTGCAAGTCCCTTGGAGTGAAAGCTGCCCTCAGGTTCTGACCGATGCCAGACAGTCCCGCTTCGCCTGTATGAGTCTGGGTCCCTAGAGACTTGCCCAGAACTGGAGCTCAGAGCCTGAGACTCCCTCCCGATTGAAAATGACAACCGCGCCCTCGGCCGCCAGCCCGCTCCGCATGCACCTCTGCACCTTAGTATTTTACTTCCGCACTGCGCCTCCTCTGAGTCTCGGTATGCTTTTCTCTTTCCTTCTAGTTGTAGAATTTCCACTCAGCCAGACTTCCTGTGGTTCTGGATGATGTCCGTTCTGTCTTTTAGTTGTATTTTTGAAGTGGTTGTGCGAGGCAGCAAACTCCGGTGTTTACCTATGCCGCCATCTTGGTTCTCCAACTTCCAGAGTCCTTCTGATAGTCTGTAAGGCCTTCATGACCTGAGCCCCCATGACTTCTCCAAATAGTCCTGCTTAGTCTTTTTAAATACAGCACTCAGCACATGTTACTATATTATAACACTTACTTACTTAGTATGGTTTTTCTTAGCCATCTCCCCTAACTAGAATGTAAGCTTCACAAAGGCAGGACTCTATCTCTTTCTCTGGTGTATCCCAAGTGCATAGAACTGTGCCTGGCACATAGCAAGCTCAAACTAAATTTGAATAAATCAGCACTAAAGAACAAGGTAGATCCGTTGTATTGATATGGAAGGTTGGTCAAAGATATGCTAATTGAAAAAGGCAGGTTGCCAAACAGAATGCAGACTATGATCTCCACAATTTCAATGTGAATATAATCATTTAACTGCTTATATAGCAGTGATGGCAAACCTATGACACGCAAACTCATTTTTTTTGGTTGATTTTTCTTTGTTAAATGGCATTTAAATATATAAAATAAATATCAAAAATATACATCTTTGTTTTACTATGGTTGCAAATATCAAAAAAATTCTATATGTGACATGGCACCAGAGTTAAATTAGGGTTTTTCAAAATGCTGACACGCCGAGCTCAAAAGGTTCGCCATCACTGTTATATAGGCATAGAAAGTTCTACCTCTGGAAAGAGGTAAGGAATGTAACAATGTTTTACCCTGAGGAGTGGGGCTATGTATGTCACTTCACTTGATATTCTGAACTGTTTGCATACTTATACCATGAACATATTCTGCTTTTATAATTAAAACAATAAATCTGTTCTTTTTTTTTTTTTTTTGAAAGTCCACTATGTTCACTAGTGAAATTCTGGACTGACAGTTGAGTAAATGATGATCCATTCACCCTTTAAAATCATGTTTACAAAGAGATGAATGACAAGAGAAAATGCTTCCGATGAATCTGAAGTGATAAAACAGTATGCAACACTGTCAAAACAGTACGATTTCAATTTTAAAACGAATATATTCATAGAGGAGAGAGTGGGAGGAAACATATCCAAAGGTAACTGTCGTTATCTCAGGCTGGTACATTGCACATGATTCCACCTTCTTTCCCATACTTAGTTCAGCTTCGAGTCCTGTTCTACACTGGGCCTTCCTCCCACTCTTTTACAGCTTATATTACATCTCCTCAGTGATAGCCCCATGAGATCTAATCATTCCCTCCCTTGTCCACCCCCAACTCTGCTCCAGTGTCCCTGGCTCCCCTGCTGTTCCTGGAACCCTGGGGCGCCCTTCCTGCTGGACTTCAGGTCTCTGCTCAGGTGTCATCTTATCAGAGAGGCATCCTGGCCCCTCCCCATATCCATTCTGCCCCTTCTCTGTTTTACCTTCCTCCACAACACTTCCACCAGACACAGTACACACTATGTACTCACTGACTCTCCTCCTATAGGATGTAAACTCCATCAGCACAGAGACTTTTGTCTGTCTTGTTCACTGATATTATCACCAATCCCTAAAACAATGACTGGAACTTTGATGCTCAATGAATATTTGTTGAGTGGATGAATGAATGAATATAAGACATACGCTATAAAGGAGGTGGAGGGAGAGGTTATGGTAGGGACTGGAGAGAGAGAGGCAGACATGTAATTTAAATATCTATTATTTTTAAGTGATCAACTAGCATAAATTCCAGTTCCAGTATTCAGAAAGCCAACAACATACCTGTTTATTTGCAAACACCAACAATCCTGCATCCATGAGCTCATACTCCATTAACAATCTGGTTAGTTCTTCTTGGGCCTCACTGATCCGTTCTCTGTCGTTACTATCGACCACAAAAATCACACCTGGAGAGAAATCACAAGCATGTTAGTAATCTGAACCTGGAAATGGCAGCTGTTTATATCTCCTTCCAGCTTCTCCCTGCTCACATGTGTGTTTTCACGGAAAGCAATCCTATGGAAGAATCTATAATCCTGAGAGTTAGGAAGTATAGTGTACGCCAACTAACTTATCTTCTTCAGAAGCATCATAACCCTTCACCAGATTATACAAAATATACAGAGAAATATACAAAGAAAAGGTTTTTAATCTCTCATTTTTAAAAAATACGTTTTTGTTTATTTTAGAAAGAGAGGAAGGGAAAGAGATGGAAATATCAATGTGAGAGAGAAGAGAAACATTGGTTGACTGGCTCCTGCATTCCCCCTACTGGGGATTGAGCCCACAACCTGGGCATGTGCCCTGACTGAGAATCGAACCTGCAACCTCTTGGTGCACAGGACGACGCTCAACCAACTGAGCCACACTAGCTAGGGCAATCACTCATTTTTAATCACTTCATTTCTGCATCAAACCTACATAATAAAGTTCCAATAAAATTCTGGACATCAACATTCAGGTAAGTTTCCCTGGTTTGGCAATACTCTGCATACATCACACATCAATATGCCAGAAGGGTAATGCATTCCTAACTCTCAGGATTATATACAGGGTGGGGCATAAGTAGGTTTGCAGTGGCTTGTGTGGAAAAAAACATGCAGATTATGATTATTACAACAGCTTTATTAGCCCTAGCTAGTTTGGCTCAGTGGATAGAGCGTCGGCCTGCAGACCAAAGGGTCCCAGGTTTGATTCCAATCAAGGGCACGTACCTTAGTTGCAGGCTCTGCCCCAGCCTGGGCCCTGGTTAGGGCTCACGCAGGAGGCAACCAATCAATGTGTTTCTCTCACATCGATGTTTCTCTCTGTCTTTCCCTCTCTTCCACTCTTCCTAGAAATCAATGGAAAAATACCACCCCCCCAAAAAAAACACACCAATAGCTTTATTAACACTGTGTTTTATGTACTCACAACTGTAAACCTACTTTTGCCCCACCCTGTATCCTTCCATCTGATTGCTTTTAGTGAAACCACACATGTGAGCAGAGAGAGAACAACGGAAGCTGTGTGTTGGTACCACCGGGATCTCTCCCTTTGGTTCATTTGTGTCCTTGTAATAAAACTGTAATGGTAAGTATAGCCCTTTCCTGTGTCCTGGAAGTCATTCCGATGAACCTGAGGGGGTAGTGGGAACCCCCAACTTGCAGCTGGTGCCTGAAGTAGAGGAGCCTTGTGCACGTGACCCATGAAGTTTGGCACAACTCCAGATAGCTGGTGTCAGAAGTCTTTGCGGCATCTCAGAAAAATCCCAGGAAGCCAGACACAGGTTGAAGAAAGGTGCTGCCACACTATCTGAGCAAATATCGTTGAAACCTGCACAGACCTGGTGACTGCCTCATTGGCTGGGAAAAGAGGTGGTACAAGGATCTCCCAAAGGAGGTGCCCAGGAGGAATCCAACATGCCATCCAAATACAGGATGGGGGAGACTTTCTTAGCAGCAGTCCATGTGGCAATACCGGTAATGACCACGTGGGGTTCAGGTGACAGTAAGCCCTCTCTCAGACAAGAATGTGGTTGCCAAAAGAACAAATTTGATCCTCAGCTGTATCAACAGCAGTGAAGGTAGCTTAGTTTTTAGGACATGGGTGATAAAAAGCCCACTCTATTTTATGTCGGTCAGAATATCCTGGGAATGTTATGTGATCAGTGCTGGACCCCACATCCTAAAGCACAGGCAAACTGGAGGGATTAAGAGAATGACTAGGATGGAAAAGGAATCAGATACCATGTCATCTGAAAAATAACTGCTATAACTGGGGATATTTTACCTGGAGAAAAGACTCATTGCAGGGACTGCTGATCGCTGTCTTCAGATATTTAAAGATCCTTAGAATCATTAGTTTCTAATGCAAAACAGACAGGGGGAAGCCGGCATAGTACTAGTATCTCTTTGCCATTCCTAATAAAAATAAAGGTTTATAAATATTAGGTACCTTTTCATATTCTATTTTTATAGGCATCCTTATCTGAGAAACAAAGAACCTCGCATCAGACTGACTACACTTTTGCACTAAAAGAACCTAGAAAAGGTAAATTGACACATGAGTAGCATACTGTAATTTGTTTTGTAAATGGGGGAGGAATATGTAATTATAGCATAATTATACTGCATAAAATACCTTTGGGCAGATATACAAAAAATAAAAATTGTTGCCTACAGGAAGGGAACTGGATGGTTAAGGGACAGTGATGAGCTGATGACTTTTTATTGTAGACTTTTATTTCTTTTTGAATTTTGAACCATATAAGTACATTGCCATTTCACAAGTTAAAATTACCTGCAATCAACGAAAAATCTTTTCATGTGAGGACTAATAGACCATTTTATGCATTATCTATGGTATAGCCCCATCTTTAAAAACCAATGATAAGGAAATACAGTAACAATCTGGGATATTCATGCCTATACATGTACTTGTAGAATAGTAGGACAGCAGGGAGGGACTGTGACCACACAAGACGCTGGGATTTGGGATTTGGGGATTCAGCCATCTCTGTTCATCTTTTTCTCTCCAGAGGCATGATTTTTAGATATTCTCACTAGGTTGACAGGGTACGGAGCCCCAACCCCCCTGAAGGGCCCTGCTCTGTGCGTGACAGGGGGTGGCGCCGCAACCTCCCTATCGACCCTGTCTTGAGTGTGACAGGGGGCGGTGCCCCAACTCCCCAATCAGCCCTGCTCTGAGCCCGACCAGGGGCTTCACCTAGGGATTGGGCCTGCCCTCTGCCACCTGGGAGCAGGCCTAAGCCAGCAGGTCGTTATCTCCCGAGGGGTCCCAGACTGCGAGAGGGCACAGGCCGGGCTGAGGGACCTCCCTTTCCCCCACACGAGTGCACAAATTTTTGTGCACCGGGCCTCTAGTATATTATATAAATATATATATATTTGGAGAAAATATATTTCATCATGCAGTTTTTTTCTGTTAAGTCATTAAAGAGAAGGTCAACTTAAAATGGACACATTGTACAATGTGTGGAGTTTCCGGATTAATCCTCAGGAGGTCAAGGAATATCAAGATCTGAATGTGGTAGCTTCAACTCTCACTCTTAAATTAGTGGCCCAAATTAAGTTCATTTCCTCTGTTCTCCAAGCAAGATAATCTGACCCATCATGGACAGTAGGCCTGATCTACTCTACGACTTTCTTACAGGCTTACTTTGTTCTAAAACAGCTTCTAACAAAGAATTTCCAGTTTTAGAAATAAGCAATTTGGGCAGTAATTCATTTCATAGACTCCAGCACTCCCAATACACAAATTAATGTCACAGACACTCAAAGATGTGGCTCAAGGCCAGCAGACCACGATGTTGGCCACTGACTCAATCCTTTCCTCACCCATGTGTTCAACTCCGTTCACTGGGAACATAGCATTTGCTCTACTGAAAATGAAACTGGACTGGAAATGGCTCTTCCCTGCTAGCTCTGCTGGAGAGCTAAGCCACACAAGGGCCAGGGTTGTCAGGAAGAAGACATGCTGTCCCCTGAGCTCTGGATGGTCTGGAACAAGTGTCGTTTAAAGTTTTAGACTGGTCTGGGCAGAAAGGACCCCCAGTGGGCATGCTCTAGGTCAGTGGTCAGCAAACTGGCCCCTTGAGTGTGGCTCTTCCTCAAAATACTACGTGCGGGCGCGCACGTACAGTTCAATTGAAACTCTGTGTGGGCCATGCCACGGGGCCAAAGAGCCACATGTGGCTCGCGAGCCGCAGTTGGCCGACCACTGCTCTAGGTAAAGGCATCCTCTCCTTGGATTGCAGTTTCAAAGGACTCACCTGAGGTCCACAAGAACACCTTCTTAGCAGTGAGATGCTAAAACTCGGTTTTATGACAACAGACATAAAATGTCTTCAGACGAACCATAAGGTCATCTTCAGTTTATTTGGCACAGCAAAAATCTTTCCATCTTTCCTCCCTCCCTCCCTCCTCCCTCCCTCCCTTCCTCCTCCCTCCCTCCCTTCCCTCCCTCCTGACTTACCTTTATTAGGAACAAATTCTATTCATCTAATTTCACAGAAGACAACAACAGGAAAATAAAGCAGTCTGCCTTGTGCAGTGGAGATGGGTTGCCAGACCTCTAACCTTAGATTGGGAATGGCTACTAGAAATTCATGCATTTTATTTAGTCCCTGTAAAGCTTAAACCACAAAAACGGTTGTTTCAGCCATGCGAGGCTTCGGACATGGAAAGTATACAGCTCCCCGCCACGCTCTAAAGCACTGCTTACCTCTGTATTCAGCTTTTATGTAAAGTTAGTACTCGTCTACCCCAGTGTTCTGGGTATATTTAAGATTGCCAAATATTTAAATGGTCCCTACTCATACTTACTAAGGCCATTTGTAATCCTTCCTATGATTAATCATATTCTATGATTAAAGAGAATACAGTTTATAGCAGCGCCTGAACATTTAGCATCTCTGTAAACATAAAAACTAATAAACATCTAAAAACATGAGGAAGTTTTTAAAAAAGATCCAAAAGAAAGAAAAAAGACAATATAATGAGAAGATATCTTTCAAAGCAGTATTATTTTACAAAGAAAGGAGGGGGAAAGTGTGAGCGAAGTTATTTCAGCAAAATGATGGGCCACCACACTGTCATCATTTCTCCTAGCTTAACAGAGAACTTTCTAGGATGCAAAAAAATTATCTACCCGTAAGTCGTAAACTCCCCAAATAGTGAGGCAAAGGCACTTGTGGTGACTGTATACTGGGAAATTTTCGAACCTGAGTCCTTGCAAATCCTGTCTTCACTACTGGTATCCATACACACACAGCCCGAGGCCCTGCTCCAGGCTCTCGTCTCAGCGCTGCTTGCCAGCTGATGAGAAACTTCAGATCATTTTGCAATAACTTCTGAATTTACATGCTTTTTTGAACTCTTACCCACCTTTCCCTGTCACTACTTTGAAAAGGCTTATGGATCAAGTTGCCAGGCAAGGAAAAATGAAATCTTGCTTTTATCTTCTGTGTTTGGGCTGGGTTGGCTGTTTATAGCTGACTTAATGCTTCCCCAAGTGTGTTTAGCAAGATTTGATTATTGTACACACTTGAATTTACTCCATGTCTTGTTGCTGAAACTTCAAGGGGAAG